ATCCTCCAGCGCTGACTGGAGGAACGGACGGGGATGGGGCAGGCACAGCTGGCTCTGCCTCTAGATAGGCAGATCCAGCTCTCACTCACGCAGCTGGGTGGTTCCAGGCAGTATTGTCGGGATCCGTCCCGGCTGCGGCGCTCTCAGTATATAACGGGCAATAGCCCGCTATATACTGAGCTTTGGGTCACCGGAGGAGGTTAGTTTATGTCCTACCGTGACCCTAAAGAGAATTATTGGGGAAAAACACTTACCCCATAGTTCTCTTTTAAGCACCTGTATTACAGCACCTATATTGCAGCACTAATACTAAGCGTGTCTATTGGTCCTTATTTGCTTTTGATTACTGCATTTCAATACAGAGTTTATGTTATGGTAAAGTATGGGGTATAGACCGTATAGCATTAGTTACACCTATTTTTAGTAGTAACTCTCAAGCAACCAGAAGCTACATTTATTCGGAATCTACCAATCCCCGTAGATGCCGGATAACGAGGAGTTTACTGTATATTTGGCTACCATTGCTGTTATTTCCTATTACATGTTGAAGCAATGCAGGAAATCTCAGCTCCTTATGGAGAGTGAAGTTGTTGTTTTTTATTATTATTACTATTATTTTTTATTGTGCGCCTGAAATTTATGAGGGGACTTAAGAGAGACTGCTACCCACATACACGACGTGGTAATTTGTGAAAAGCCATTATTCTGGTGACTGAAGCCAGCCCCCGAACAGCTTTTCCAGATGCATGATTAATAGGTTATTCTTTTGAAGCAGCGGGGTTTTTTTTTTCCTGTATAACCTGCAGCGTTGTGTTTTATTTCTCCGCGTGAATAGCGGTAAAGCTGTGATAGGCTCTGCGCTTTTTACCCTTTTGATGTTATGTTTGGTGATGTGCTGTTATGTTCTGGAGCTCCGCCTATAAGCACAATGGCTGTGACTGTTTGTCCCTCTGTGTAGTCACAGCCACGCTTTGGGATTATTACACTCGTCATTCTTTAAAAAGCGGTCCGAATGTACATTTTGTGCTGTTCTGTGCCATGTTGTTATGATTATAGGAGAGCAGTGAGCTTTAAAGCTGAACTCCGACCTTCCCTTCAGTCTTGCACAGTTGTACCGCCTCCTCTCCTGATTACTCTGATTTCTCTATACACTGGGAACTTTCCACATTGTGCATTGGAAGCTGCAGCAAGTCAGATAGAGCCAGCCTCATTTCAAGGCTGGAGGACGTCCAACATTATCTAGCGCTTTCCTCTCCAGCCTTACTGTCTGACTGACCTGGGGGGACAAGCAGAACCAATTGGCCCTTTCATCATCGGGACAGATTTCTTAGGGCTACAAAAAACATACATGCAAAAGTACTGCATTGTAACGGTAATACTGGCAGCGAAAATGAAAAAACTGGCTTCCATTGACCTTTGGGGACAAGCACAACTTACTGGCCTGTTCATTGTAGGAACAGATTTCTTTGGGCTACAAAAAATGTACATGCAAACTTTCTACATTACAGTAAAACTAGCGGCAAAAACGAAAAAGTTCTTATGCCCAGGGAAAGACTGAGTTCCATTGACCTTGGGGGACAAGCACAACCAACTGACCCTTACCGTAAACATTAAGCGAAATGTGAACTGTTAAGTCGAAAAGTTCCACATTCATACATAATGCTAGCAGCAAAGATGAAAAAGTTCTGGTGCTCAAAGGAGGACTGGGTTCCATTGACCTTTGGGGACAAGCACAACCCACTGGCCCTTTTCATGGTAGGGACAGATTTCTTTGGGCTAAAAAAAATGTACATGCAAAGTGTGCCATGTCACCTCACTGATGGGTGGGCATGGTGAAAGGTAGGTGTCCCTAAAAGACATGGAAGTGGGATTTATCAAATCTGGAGCAGCCAATCAGCTTCTTTCTTTCATTTTCAAATCTTAACTGAACAAACTGAAGAGAGAAGCTGAGCTCCAGAATTTGTCTACTCCAGTTTTGATAAATTACCCCCATGGTTTATTGTGACTCAGCTTTTCATGTCTTCATTCATTGGTTCCTTTGCAGCCCTTGGTATTACATCACATGAGCCCCAAAGAGAATTGGAAGACCTCCCTCTGCTAAACGCCTTGACTGCAGGTCTGTACAGGGAGCAGGTAGCTATGTTTCCCAGCATATGTCATTGACTGCTGGCTCCACACTGGTCACTGTCTGAATAGCTAAGTATCTCCCCTTAGGGCCACCAGCCCAACATATTTTTCAAGTACTGGCCTGGGGGAGCAAATGCCTTTTTGTCCCCCATACCAGTCCTGCTGGCACCTATTTGCAAGTCAAGCAAGCTTAAAAACATCCTTTTCCCTTTCTTCCTTTCCTCCTTGCTTCTCAAGACCTCTGCTATGCTGATCAGACTCGGGAAAGGATTCCATTAAAGCTCAGTCCTTACGCTGAGCACCACACAGGATTATTGGTTTTGCTATATCTCTCTAGGACGTTCCACCCATTAATCTTCGCCCCCCAGTATAAATACACAGCAGTTAATTATGTCAGGCGGAAAATCTAAGTTAGGGACATGCATGATATAAATATCATTAGAAACATGTAACAACTAGATAGCAATTAAAAGGTGATATAAAATGTAAAACAATGTTATCATCTTATCTATTATTCTCACCAAGCAGATTGTGATGTTTATTTAGACCCAATGGAGAAAGAGCTTTCAGAATCCTTTAGTGCTTTTAGCTAATTTTAGTATATTAATCACGCAGGTTCCTTTCGTGTCACAGATCGGCCAAATTGCTGGCAAGATATGGGTGTTGTATTAATGAATGGTGAGAACTACTCCCACCTTAAGGGATACTTTCTAAACCGCATGGGTAGTCCTGATGTGATTCTCAGTCATGCTAACCTGCTCCTTTATTGTCTTCTGTTGTAGACCCTTTGCTGCCCTTCACATTTAAAGAACAATTCCAGGAATTAAAAAAAAACCTACCCTTGCTGTGGTGAAACGGACACTGCAAGGGTTAAGTGCTCATTTTGTCTATGGGAGTCAAATAAAGCAGATAAATTCACCTGATATTCGGTCCTACCAGGCTGCTAGACCAGTCCCTGCGGCCTTTTCTTGCCTGGACTCTTGCGATATAAGGACCTCTGACCTCATCACGTCTAAATCGGGTCCATTGGCTTGCATTAGATGTGAGGACATGGAGGAGGAGAGAGGTGAGCGCTGGCCAAGAATCAGGTGAGGTAAATCTGCTTTGTTTGAGCTCTCTAGACTTAATGAGCACTTATCCCTTGCAGTGCTGGGGTAGCCCTACTACATGGGCAAGTTTTGGGGTGGGGAACGCCCCTCTCCGCAACTGATTGGGCCACAACTAATTGGACTACCCCCGCACTGCAAGGGTTAAGTGCTTATTTTGTCCAAGGGAGTAAAAAAAAAAGCAGATATATTTACCCGACCCTCTTTCGCACCGGGCTGCTAGACCAGTCCCTGCGGCCTCTTCTCCCCGGCGGTATAAGGGACGCTGTTGTAAAGTAGTCACCGCTCCAAGCTCGCTCCTGTGATGTACTACAATCTCAATACAAATTAGTAAACTAATGTAGATTAGTTTACATTAGAAACATGAGATTGTAGTCCATCCCGGGAGCGAGCTTGGAGCGGTGACTACTTTACAACACACACAGGGACCAGGGGGAACAAAAGTAGCCACCCTCCAGAAGGAAGGACAGTGTCAGCACCAATTCAGAGATGACTGAAGGATCTCCAGCCGAGTGATACACAAATAATATACATTGTTGGTAATAGTTATGGGACTTGAATTCATTTTTAAGGTTTTAAC